CTTCGTCCACGAGCTCTCAAAGATCATGGCTAGTGGTTCTGAGATTGCTTCAGCTAGTTCCTTAAGTATCCCAGGGGGAATTTCATCAGGACCTTCGGACTTGAATACATCCAACGTATCCAATATTCTTTAGCCTGTTCTTTCTGGCCACCATTAACCTTTTTAGTGAAGACTGAAGCAAAATAGGCATTAAACACCTCAGTCTTCTTGCTGTTGTCAGGTATTAGCTCTCCTTCCCCGCTAAGCAGAGGACCTACACTTTTGTCTGAGAAAAACAGAGTTCTCACTCTCAGGTTGGGTGCAGCAAGTCAGATACTTTATTATCTCTAGCAATTGCGTGGAGGGAGAGAGCAAAACAGGTCTCTCTCTAGGTAAACAATGACAGCAAGCATTTATAACTTTCGTTACATACAATAGTGAGCAACAGCTGCGTTTTGTTGATACATAGGTCATCCTGATATCTTATTTTTCTCACCTCTATTTAGACTCTAGTCCACATTCCATACTTATCTAACACAAAGTCGCAACAACTTCTCACACAGTTCTTTCCCACTTGCCTCACACAATCCTCGCTTCTACAAATCTCGCGTTATTAGGGTTACAGCTAGCCTGACTCTTGCTCACAGAGGGCACTGTTTGCATTGAAATCCCCTCCAAATCCCTGTCAGTTCTTTCTCTACTTCCACACTTTCCTCTGTCTTTCTCTTGCTCCTAATGTATTTAAAGAACCTCTTCTTACTGCTTTTTTATGTCCCTTGCTGGGTGTAACTAGGGTTACCATATTCAAACATTTAAAAAAGAGGACACACCACGGGGCCCTGGCCCCACCCGGGCCCGCCCCAACTCCACCCTTTTCCCGCCCCTGGCCCCACCCCAACCCCACCCCTTCCCCGCCCCCATTCCAACCCCTTCCCCAAAGTCCCTGCCCCCTCCTCTGAGCACCCCGCATTCCCCCTCCTCCCTCCCTCTCTGATCTTGGTTGGAGGTTGCTAAGTGCTTCTCTGCTCCCCACTCGCCCTGCAGCCCCTGCACCCCGCCCCCCGCTCCTGCAGCCTCTGTGCCCCCTGCTCCCCAGTGGCCCTGCAGCCCCTGCACACCCCCGTCCCTGCAGCCTCTGCGCCCCCTGCCTGCCCTGCCCCTGCGCCCCCCTAACCCTGCAGCCTCTATGCCCCTGCCTCCCCTGCTCCTCCTCACCCTGCAGCCTCTGCACCCCACCGCCTGCCCTGCCCCTGCACCCCCTGCCCCTGCACCCCCTGCTCTGCTCCCCTGCTCCCCCCGGCAGCCTCTGCCAGGCGGGGGCTTCGGATGCTCAGTGGCGACCGGGGCAGCGCGGGTCCCTGCAGCCCCGGCACACGCTGCACTCCTGCCCTGCGCCGCAGCCTCCTTCCTGCCGCGCGGGGTGATGGGGGCCGCAGGAAGGGTCCCCCAGTGGCCGGGGAGTCCCCGCCCGTGAGGGAAGCCCGAGCCGCTGGCTGGGCCTGGCCTCCCCGTGGTCCTGCGGGCTCGGCTGGGGCGCGCGGTCCGCCTGGCCTCCGGGGGCAGCAGCGGCCCCTCCACTGCCTTCTGTGGCTGCGCCCCCTCCCCCCCACGCCCGAGCTCGCTACAATGTAGCTACAATGTAGCCAGGCGGCTGGGCTGGGCTGGGCTGCGGACCCGGCGGGTCGTGCTGGGGCCGGGCGGACCCTGGCTTATGCTGCCTCCCTATTTCCCCGGACATGTCCGGCTTTTTGGCATTTCCCCCGGACGGGGATTTGAGCACCAAAAAGCCGGACATGGCCTCACTGGGACGAGGGGCCCAGAGTCACCCACAGGCTGTCGGTTCCTCCCCAGGCCACAAGCCTCGCCACCAACTTCTCTCTTTGTCTGTCTCTGCTCAGCTCTGTGCCCGCAGCTGCCAGCCACAGCCAATCAGGGCAGAGGGAGTTGAGGAGCGCCGGGGGGGGATCCCCGGCGGCAGGGTCAGAACTAGGGCCGGATCCGCACGTAGGCAAACTAGGCCGGGACGC